GTTATGGTTAAACATTAGGATCTAGGGTTAGATCTAGGATGTAGAGAGTTTATCTGGTCTTATGGTTTGTGGTGCTGATGTGTTAGTGATGTTTGCCATATATGGTTATTAGTTCAAACTTTAAGTAGCACAAAAGGACCAAGGTGAGTGTCAAGTCTAAAGCAACATTCTCTCAAGTTTGTTTTACTCCCTGAGCAGAATCCCCTAGAGTCCTGGCTATTGAGCAGATAACTGGGCCTGACCTTAGGCACATTAAGAAATTTTTGGAGTCAGGGTCACCAAAGTCCAAAAGTCATAACTGAAAATGAATTGGGGTTTAGAATGAAGGATTAGAGATAAAACTGGATTTATCAATTAGTCTAAACTCTGATCAGAATTGACCGAGAATGTGAATAATCTTTATATCTGGAGAGTTGCCTCATTTGTGATCTGACTTCCTCTCTTCCTCTCAATTGTAGATCCCTGAGCCCAGGGGAGACGCAGGTTTTCAGGAGGAAGTCAATCCAGACACTAACGACAGAGATGAGGAAGGAAGAGAGGAGTCTCTTGTGCAGATAATCTAGAAGAACTCAGGATCTTCTAGAATGAGCTGAATGGAATTAGCATGTATTCCTAGGAGCTGGGAGTACATGTAGGAGTCCACAGAGGGACAATAAGAAACCAGGTTTTTTTTTCAGGTTCCATCCCTTCCTGGGGCACCACCAAATATTTCAGATTGTTTAATTCAAATCTCCCCTGAGGTAGAAGTTGGAGGTCCCATTTTTTATGCATTGGGACACAGATGAGGAGGAAATTACTTCAAAAATATAAAATTAGAGACAAAGGATTGTAATAGTCTAATATATGCCATGAATTTTCATTGGTATATTTTGAAAAAGTTGCCCTTAGAGTTATTATATTTATTTTTATATTTTATATTTATGTATTTATTTTAAATAGTTCTGAAATAGTCATAGTTTTCAAAACATGCTGTTCCTACAAAGTTTTGTGATGAGATTACAGCCATAGATAAAATTTTGTTTACATATTCAGGGTAAGTTTTTGTGTTTTTATTATATTTACAATAATATATCAATTACACTTATAACCAGATGGATGGTTCCCTCAAGTTCTTATAACTGTAAATGTTTATTTGACATTTAGTCTTTGTTATTAAATTATGAGAATCAGTTGTAATTTTTTAACTTGCCTTGGTGACATGTTTGTATGTTATTTTATGTTATTTTAGGTTATTAAAGAGGACACTGCAATGTGTCTCTTGGGGAAACATAATAAAGATAAAAGTCTTCTTATCTTCATGCTGTTTGTGGTCATCCCAATCTGTGTTACCTATTCACTGTCAAGTGATACTGTTGCTTAATGGGGTTGTGATCATTCAGCTACACTTCTTAACTTTGAAAAATAATTCTGAGTTATTTTTCATGTAGAAAAAAAAATAGAAGACAAGGTGGATCCTGAGCTTGTGTCTCAAAGCAGGAAACAAGGAGAAGATATTGAGGGAGAAAAGGGGGAAGAAGGAAGATAGTGCTCTGGGGACCTAGATAATAATCTGAAATTCACAATGAAGGCAAGGTGACTCAGCAAGATTATGCATTCCAGGCGATGGTCCATGGCAAGCAGACCCACAGGTGCAAGGGAGCACACAGTGTTCATTATTTTAATTATAGTAGGAGTCCTTTTCACAATCTCCAATTCCAGTTTTCTGTGGTAGAAGGAAAATCTAGAGTGTGGGATGAAATAGAACAACTGAAAAGAAATGAAGGTTTTGGAGAACTTTCTGAGAAACACAGTAAGATAGGAGGAGCTAAAGCTGTCAAATAAGATAGGCATGGAGAAGAAAGAGCTAATTACATGAATCCTGAATATTGGAGGAAACCATCTTGGGAGATAGCAGCACCAGAGAATACTGGGACTGTCCCAAATACCAAGCTTCAGTGTCCTCAGGACGCATCAACCTCCTGGCACGTAGATGCATATCACCAGTCAGGAAGCTCACCTGAGCTTGGTGACCAGAGTTTTTATTGGGCTTTCATAATGCAAGTGTGATTAATTCAATCATTGGCCATATATTGAACTCAAACTCCAGCTCCCTTCCTTCCCCTAGAGATTGGGCTGATATCAAGTGGTTGATAGCCCCAGCCCTGTTGGTATTCCTGGTATGGCTGGCCCCTATTCTGACTCACCTCATTAGCACAAACTCAGGTTTGGTCCAAGGGGCTCACCATGAGTAACAAACACTCCTATCACTCAGGAAATTCCAAAGATTTAGAGACTCTCTCCCGGGAACCAGGGAGAAGGACCTGACAAATTATTTATACAACACATTGGCTATGGTCAGGAGTCTCACAGAACTCAGGTGGTCAGGAAGGTAAACGTTTTGGGACAGATCTATCACAGGAGATATTGGAGAAGTTGAACAAATAAGGATTGAAATAATGGGGTGCTCATGGGGATTTGGACTAGCTTAGGAGATGTGAGAAATTTAGGAGATGACCACAGCTCTCTATATAGGAGAAGCTAATGACAATGAGCAACTGAGTAAAGAGAAGCCAAAGGAAAAGTTGTGTGTGTATGTGTGTGTGTGTGTGTCTGTGTGTGTGTTGGGGTGGGGGTGCAGTTCTGATAAATGAGATGAACTAATAAACATGGAGCAATTTCAGAAAGTGAAGCCACCAAGGTCAGAAGAGCCACAGGGACATCAGCATCTAACTACAGCAGCTCTAGGAGAGGGATGGCATTCAGAAGTGGGACATGGTTGATGGACTGAGAGCAGCAGAGAGACCAGATTCTGCAGACATGGAAACAAAGAGGAGAAACAGTCTGATGGCTTGGAAACAGATATAACTTATGAGACACCTAGGAATTAAAATGTCTATTTAAGAAGCTCTAGGTCTCTGCAGGATGGCAGGTAAAGGCAGATTAAGAAACAGCTCAAATGAGGAAAGACCTGAATGAAAAGACACAAGACACAGGATGATGGATGCAAACAATAAAGCAATAACAAACAGGCAAGAAAACAGATGGTCAGGTGACTGATGACAGGGTGAGAACTGGGAGTGTTTGGGACCATTGGAGCAGAACATTGTGGTATCAGCCCAGATACCTAGAGAAACTGAGATCAAGACTGATCCAGTTGAAGAGAAGGGGAAGCCAAGGCTGCTGAGAAGGGGGTGAAGCTTAAGAGACTTGGAGGACAAAGAGATGGACCAGCTGAGAAAGTGGGAGAGGCTGGAGGCCACTGGAGGCTGAGAAGGAATCTAGGGAGCTGCTTTGGAAATGTGAGCTGATGGCAGAAGGATGTGTGACTCCCTGAGGAGGGAATGTCAGGAACAAAAGAAGAATACAGAAGAGTCAGAGCAGCCAAGCTTCTGGAACCAAAGAGCAACCAGGGCTATATGTGGCCGCTGAGTGGAGGTCAGGAGGCAGCGGCAGCAGAAGTTTAGGCACACAACGGAGGAGCAGCGGACTTTCCTGGAGAAACAAGTGATGGAAGAACTCCAATGCCTGGAGTTGGAAAAGTAGGGGAGTGACAGGAATCAAGGGTGAGATGTGATAACAACTTACATAGAGTGGATCCGATGGGGGAGATGAAACAATGGCACCGCACTGGGCATCCAGAATTTCGTGTGAGGAGGATAAGCTGATTCTACAGGACTTCAGAAGACAACTGGGATGTCTGGACTATGGTGACTGGCAGACGGAACTGCCGCGGGGGTCTGGGGTGATTTAAGACCGAGTGACAAACAAGGGGGAGCTGCTTCGTGAAGAGGAAACAGTGAGAAAACTAGAAAGAAATTGTAGGAGTGACACAGGAAGAGTCCCGCAGGCAATTCAAGGGCACCTGTCTCCACAGCTACTCCCATTCCCTCAGCTTCTCCCTCAACAGGCAGCCACACACCCTCTACAGCTATTCCCATCCTACATAAGGTGGGACTGCCTTTTTCTTTTTTTTTTTTTTGAAGTATGGATTTTTCGAGACGTCCCCTAACATGTGGGCGCTTGGACTCACGGGAAACAGAGTCCCAGTATTTGTCGGGCTCCCCGGGTGGGCTCCGGCAGGCGCACCGCCGCCGCCGTTCTGCGCATGTGCAGCTCGGCCTGTGTGCGTGTTCGCGCACGCGCAGTGCCGCCGCGCTGCTCTCGCTTCCTGTCCGAGCCCAGGTCACCGCTCGCCGTGGTTCCCAGGCTTCGGCCTCCGGCGGGCGAGGATCCCGGGCCCTGCAGGGTTACAGGCCGTCCGTCCGGGCCGGCACCCAGGGGGCGCGGGTCCGTGCGGGCCGGGC